GTGACAAATGCTGAAGCAGGACGTCACTGGAGAAGTGAGTTGCTACTTTAAATCACACAGAATTACTTTTACTCCAGAATAACAAAATGTGCTGCTCAAAACCAATCCTTCTCTCACTCTGACAAGCCACGGACCACTGGGTGCCCCTCAAGGTCAGCTCCAACCTGCTCCAAAGGCAGCTGCTCCGAACGGAACAGCCCATGGATGAGGGATCAGAAAAGCAATTAAAAGCTCTTTGAACAGCAATAGCTCGGAACAAATACTAATTTGTACTTCTCTTCTGAGAAGTGAATGTAAAATAGCATTTCTAGTGCCATTTGATGTAAATTGAGCCTTTTATGTGGAATCATTACAAGTATCAACAGCTACTTCAGCAAATTCCTCTGGGAAGCCAAGTGGGGGGCTCTTCTTACAATTTAAACCTGAGGTGCTCCTGGGTGATTTCAGAGCTCCAAAGAGGTGACACCAGCATTTCTCCTGGACAAATGAAGGACTCTGTCCTTGCACTGGATAACCACAGAGCTGGGAATCAAGGAAACCTATGAAGCAGCAATTATTTCCTCAGAGCAGTCAGTGAAGCTGCTCCTGGGACAAAAAGGAGCCACCTTTCAGTGGTTGGAAACATCCTGGATATCCCAGGTATCCCATCCCCCTGTCCCAAAGGCATGGCAGAGGGGATGCCTCTGGAGTGCACTATTCCTGCTCGGTTGCTGCAGTGCCGTGGCACGTTCTCAGCCACTCTGGAGAACTGTCAGCTGCAATGAATGCACAACAAAATCACCCAATGTACTGAAATTGCCTGGAAATTAATGCAAGGATTGCCTTCTGCTCTGTACTTGGCTTTCCTCAGCTGTCTGAGGGCTTCAAATAAATAAATAAAGCGCAGAAGGAAAAAAAAAACACACCAGGAATTCCAAACCAGGCAATTAACCTTTGGAATCCAAGTTGGGTTGCTGTTAATTAAGAGCATCCTGGAAGCTCCTAATTCCCAGCTGTGTCTGAGGTGCAGTTGGAGCAGGAGCTGCCTGTGAACCCCACGGATGAGCTGGGCAGGATCCGACTGCTGCTAATGACTGGAATCCCAAAGAAACTCGCTTCCCATCAGCAGCTGCCTCCTGCCACAAATGGGATGTGCTGCCATTAAATCTTTATCCTGCCTTGTGAGGAGAGCAGGATCACTAAAGGACAGCTCTGCAAAGCACCTCCAGCATCTCCTCATCTTCCTGAGAGTCAGCCACTGTGTCCATGGCCATGGGATGGGATCCTGGGCCTCGAAGGGAATTACAGGGTTGGAAACAATGGTTTTAAACTGCCAGAGGGCAGGTTTAGATTAGATGTTAGGAAGGAATCCTTCCCTGTGAGGGTGGGGAGGCCCTGGTACAGGTTGCCCAGAGAAGCTGTGGCTGCCCCATCCCTGGAAGTGTCCAAGGCCAGGTTGGAATAACCTGGGCTAGTGGGAGGTGTCCCTGCCCATGGCAGGGATGGAATGAGATGAGCTTTTAAGGTCCCTTCCCATCCAAACCATTCCATGATTCTATAATTCTACATGGGCTACATGCATTAAATGGGGTGGTGCCAACCACATTAGCCAAGAGTAGCCAGAGCAGCTGTGTGAGCAGTGCTGGGAGCTTCACATTCCCATAAAAACACATCCTGAAGCCTTCAGGAGATCTGGATATGGACAAGGCTCTCAATCATCTGGAGGTCACCTTCCTGTCTTGCCAAGGGGTGCTCCCAAAGCTCTGCTACAGCACCCACGTCCCCCTGCCCTGTGGTTACAAGAAGGGCCAGAAGCCCACCAGGTTTTGCCTCCAGCCTGGCACCTTCCAACCTCGATTCCCTCACCCAGAACACATGGACAATGATGCTCCATTGCCTCAAGAGGGCTCCGTGAGACTTCTCTGCAGAGCAGTGCCGTGTCCCAGGATGAAAGGCAGGATAACACAGGACCAGCACTGCTGTATCTTCCTCACCATATGTTGTTCAGAACCCCCCACCCCTCCCACACACACAGGATCGATGCCTTGGCTCTGAACAGCACTCGAAGCAAAATGTCTGTGCTGTGCCCATCTACTTGCAAAGCCACTGATGACTAGGAAGTCTGACAAGCTGGAAAAGAAAGGCAGGAAGCCACCAATAATTTTTTATAAAAGGGATTTGGCATTTCCTTACAGACAGTGAGATCTGGGGAAGGCTTTTCTGTGGTTGCTGCACTGGTTTGTTTCCAGCCCAGTTTGATACAACCAGTCACTGGCTGAAAATAAGTGGCAAAAGTCAAGATCGGGGAACCTGCTTGAGCTGCTTCACCCAGAACAAATGGTGGGGAGTGTTGGTGGGACAGTTTGCCCAGAGAAATTGTGGATGCCCCTCCTCTGGAAGTGTCCAAGGCCAAGTTGGATGTGGCTTGGAGCCACCTGGGCTAGTGGAAGGTGTCCCTGCCCATGGCAGGGGTTGGAACTGGATGGACTTTAAGGTCCCTTTCAATCCAAACCATTCTGGAGTTCCAGGATTCTGTTTTGCAGGGATTCAGGGCCCAGGAGACCCCTCCCCATGGTGTTGTCAGCAGGCACAAAGCACCAGCTCCCCAATGGAAGCCCCTGAACGCTGCTCTTGGGGTAACACTTGAACAGCTTGGTGGGAGCAAGGAAAACAGAGGGACAGCCACAGAGTGCTCCTAAATCCTTATGCCTTGGGGAACGACCTCCAGGTCTGCCCTTGGTAGGGTAGAGAAGGAGATATGGCAACACTCACAGCTGGTTACAGCCTGGGGAAGGCTCACATCTCGCCTGGTAGGACCTGCTCCGAGCAGAGGGACCGGGCAGCATCTGCCACTCAGGAACCACAAAGCTGTGCTGAAAGTGTTTTTCCTGGCAATGCTCATGGTTTACCCAAACAGAGCTGTTCTCACCTCCCCTCCACCCCAACACCACACCGTGGGGCTGGGACACTTGGCTCAGGCACCTTCTGATCTCCACACAAAGCAGCCCTCACCTCGAGCCTCGCAGCCAATTCTCACACAAAGGGGGGCTGCGGGTTCCCAAATCACCCCACTTTGCCACAGCAGCCCCGGATTTTCCTGCCAAACACTCTGGGAGCCCAGAGCCATTTCCTATTGCTTTTGGACAGCGCCTCATCCTCTGGGACACTGTTGATATGGACACCTCACTGTTAGGGTGAGGTGTCACCACGCTGGGCTCTGACAGCTCCACTTATCCTGCTGTGTCCCAGGGACACTTTGCAGTCAGGCACGTGGAGGAACTTTTACAGGTCTCACTTCAAAATCCCTCCCTTTTTATTGGGTCCACACTGGGCAGTGCTGGTGGGAACCTGATGCTCCGCAGCCCAAAGCTGCAGAACCTTTATTGCCATTGGCTTTGAGACGATTTAAAGCAAATCTTTTACAAGGTAAAACCCAACATAAACCTGACAGCTGCAGCTTTCCTGTGGGAGCAGCAAGGATACAATTATCACAATTTACCTTCATCCAAGTGATTGTGGACACAATCCATGCGATCCCTGGGTTTTCTCACTGCTGCCTGCCTAAGGTTTTCCCCCAGCTCCCATCACAGCAATATCCAAGGCCTGACAAAGCTGTATCCACCTGACAAAAGGGTATCCATGCAGAAATGCAGCTGCCAAGAGGAATGAATGGTCTATTCAGGAGCTATTGACAAGGTGTATTTCCCAATTTTAAAACTTGTTGTGCAACAACTAAGCAGACAGGAAGCCGACAGCGACAGCTCTATCCTTGTTAGGTTTGGACACTCTCTGCTGGAACTCTGAACCAATTTATTGTTGCACACCTGAGGTTTGGGTGTTTTAGCTGAGCACTGGCTTTTCTGAAAGAAAATATGTCTCAGCTCGAAATATGGAGGTTTTAAAGCACAGGAGTGCAGAGAAAATCAAGTAGTAGCACTCAAGGGGATTGTTTGTCATGGTCCTGAGCAGGACTTAATCCTGGGAAATGATGGGAAAGATAATGCAGAGCCTCTTGTCCTGCCTTTGGATGTATTATGCTACTCAGCCTGCCTTTCCTCCTCACTCCTGAACGGAGAGACCACGGAAGAGAGGAGGAAAAGCTTCATAAATAACTTTGACCTGTTCCTGATCCTGCAGTGAAGATTTTGGGGGAGCACTGGATGAACCTCTGACTATCCAGCTCCCACAAGATGAGTACAAGGATCTCCTGGCCTCACTGGGATGCATTTCCTGCACCTGATACAGAGGCGGCACAAGAAATTCCAGAGAAAACGGTTGAAAATAACCAGTTTTTTCCAAGAAAGAAAAGCCCAGAAGAACATAACCTTCCCAGAGCGACCAACTGGAGATACTCAGATGACTCACCCCCCTTCTCCCACTGCACAGCCCCTCCAGCCTCCACCAGCCAACAAGGACAAGCTGTCCTCACTGCCAGCACCACTCTCTGCCATCACCACGTTCAGACTAACACTGGGAAGAACAGCACAGTTTCTCTCCAACTACTTAAAAGAAAGACCTACTTGCACCCCAGTAAAGTAAAGGTTTTGGAGCCCTCAGGGAGAAACTAACCTTTGTTTATTGTTCTTTGCTGTTTCAGCACTGCCTGATAGTTCAAGTCTTTATTTAAAGGTCCAGGATCAAAGAAGAAATTTCTGCACTGCAAGGTCCACTGTGCACCACCACCATCAGACCAACGGGGTATTTCCACCAGAAAAATTCGTGTTTATATGAATAATTCAGAGCCAACAAGCAGCCAGGCTCTGAGCAGACATGGACAACACATACATCTAAGCTCTGCCCACCTCAGAGCTAAATTCCTCACCCCTCACCCCCTCCCAGGCGTTCCACGCGCCAAGGACGCCTCTGCTTATCGTGCACACACAGGACCAAGCCTTCAGTCCCATTTGGTGCTTCCAAATGACACAAAAATTCCTCATTCCTCTTCTGACACGGCTCTGAGAGTCACCCCACGCCACAAAATCTCCCATCCTCAGATCTCCCCCGGGCAGCGCCGCCCTCACCTGCTCGTGGTACTCGATGCCCATGCTCAGGGTGTTGATGAGGATGGCGATCATGATGCCCCGGTTGAAGTACTTGCTCTCCACGATCCTCTTCAGTTTGCTGCCAAAAGCCTTCCACAGCTGCACGACCTTGTTCCTCTCCTTGGGTTTCTTCTTCTTCCTCCTCCTCCTGCCCCTCTGCTGCTGGAGCTGGTCCCGGTGGTCGCCGTGCCGCAGGTCCTGCGTGAACTCGTAGACGCCGTTGCTGTCGGAGTCGCAGCTCTCGGAGTCGCTGAGGGCGAACTCGGGGTCGTCCAGGAGGCTGGCACAGAAGGGGCAGTCCTGGAGCTCACAGGTCAGGGTGGGGCCGGGGGGGCTGGGCAGGGGGGCCGTGCTCAGCCCCGACAGCCGGCTGGGTGTGCGCCGCAGACCTGCAAGGGACACGCGCACCGTGAGCCACTGAGCCGGGACACCCTGCTCTGGGCTGCCCTGGGCAGGGCAGCTCCTGCCCCCTCCTCAAACAAACTTAATCATGGAATCATTCAAGTTGGAAAAGACCTCCATGACTATCCAGACCAATCTCTGACTAAGTAACACCAGCCCGTTAAAGCACATTGTGAAGTGCCACGTCTGCTTCACGGGGCTGACTCGTGGTGGTTCTTGGAGGTGTTTTCTGAACACTTCCAGGGATGGTGATCCACCACTGCCCAGGGCAGCCCCTTCCAGTGGTTAGCCACTCTTCTAGTGAAGAAATTTTCCCTAATATCCCACCTGAACCTCCCCTGGCATAACTTGAGGCTGTTTACTCTCCTCCTGTCCTTTGTTCCTTGGGAGCAGAGCCCGAACCACCCCCTCTCCCCAGCTTCCCCCTCCTGTCAGGGAGTTGGAGAGATTGAAACACTCTCCCCTGAGCCTCCTTTTCTCCAGGTTGAGCCCACCCAGCTGCTCCTCATAGAAATTATTCTCCACACCCTTAAAAAAAGCCTTCCAGCCAGCCATCTTACCCAGCAGCTCTAGTTTTGCCTCATTTTCCCCCTCTGATTTCCTTTCCCCCAGCCCTGACACTCACCCTCTATCCCCTCCAGAGTGTGGCACCCATTCAGTGCCCTGGGTTGAGGGAAGGCTGATGGACACACCTCTCCTTTTCAATTATTCCTGATTACCTCTGCCCAGGCTCACATCATCAGCGATACCTGAGAGCTATCAAGCTGCTACACCCAATTTAGCTTCCAACAGTGCTTCCATTTAGTTCATAATGAGGAGGGAGAGGGAGGAACGGACCAAAGGTGGCTCCAGACCACGGATCACAGCTCTGGGGAGTCCCCTCAGTCTCCTTCATCTCTCCTTCAGCCTTTAATAAAGCTCAGGTGAATTCTTTGCTGGAGGCCCAGGACTGAGTGTTCAGGGGGTTTTAAAATCAAACACATTGCCACATGTTCTGCAGCGTGAGGAGAAATTCTGACTGCCCTCGTGGAGCCAGGGAATGGAGAAGACAGGGACAAGGGTGACGAGGATGATTTGGGTTGGACGGGAACTAGATTTTATTTCCTCATATTTAACATACAACAAATTCTTAGTTTCCTCTTATTTAGGAACCAAATTCTTAGTTTCCTCATGTTTTGGAACCAGATATTAATGGTAGGGGGGAAAAAAAGCCCAACATGAACACAATACTGGGAGCATGGGACCCTTCCCACAAAATGCCATTTAAGCACCAATGGAAGTTTTCCTTGAGATTCAGAGAAATAAGTCAAGGGGACAGTTTTCCCCTATGATAGGATCATTAAGGTTTGAAAAGAGCTCCAAGATCGAGTCCAGCCATTAGCCCAGCACCATGTTCACCACCAAACCATATCCCTGAGTGCCACATCCACATGCTCCTGTCTGGAGATTGGATGGGGACCACTTGGATCGGTTTTGGGGAGTCCAAGATAAAAGCATTGGATGCTCCTGGCTCTGGACCCTGGAGCTTGGAGCTCACCCAGCAGGAATGCTGATTTCAGCCACTCCTGGCTGAGCACATCTTTAAAGAGGAGGCAGCACCAGACAAAGCCAAAGCAACCCAATCACTTGAAAACTGGGTTGTGACAAGAGTCAAAATACATTTTACTTGTCTGAACGTCACAGAGACATCACTGACCTTCAAACCAGCCCTGAAAGCCAGGACAGGCCTCTTGGTAATACATCAAGGACACCAGGAGGATCAGGAATATTTCCTCCTTGCTCAGCCTGCAACAGCACTGCACTCCAGCTCCTGATCAGGACTGGTCCAACATGGAAAGGCTCAGCACAGGCACAGTAGATGGACAACAGAGGGAAGGGGCTTTCCAGACAGCTTTTAATGCTATCAAAGTGTTAAAAATTATATGAAACGCACTGGCGCCACAGATGTCTTCAAAATACCAGAGTCTCCTTGGCTGCCTGCTAAAATAACCTCCCAGCATTGCAGGGCACGAGAACACAGAGGAACAGCCTGTACTTTATGCTGTTCAAATCCACAACAAAAGGAGGGAAGAGAATACTCTCTCCCACAACTGCATCTTTCCCAGCAGACACCAACCTTGTTTCCAGCTGGGGCTGCGAGTGCCCTGGCTGCTAATGCCTCCTTAATGCTCTCAATTATCACTTCTGGGCTCTCCTTGCACAAGTCTTGCAGTGAACACACTCTGCTTGTTGACTCGTAAGAGGAGAGAGGGAATTAAGTGAATTTGGGCAGCTTTTTGTTTGCCCAAAAAAGCTGAGACCAAGAGGGCTGGGAGAGCTCGTGAGCCCATCTCACCTTCCCCACTGAGAACTGGGTAGGACCTCACATGGCTCCTTTGCTGAGTTTAGGGATGGAGAAACATGAGTTGAGACCTGTGTCTGGTGGAGCTACACCCTCAGGAGCTGCTTTGTTTGGCACCAAAGATCATCCTTGAAGCCTCGAAGTCACATCCATCACCTCTGATCTGTGAAGGGTGTTGTGGTGCAGAAGTGAACCCGACTCAGCCCTGTTGGGTTGGGAAGGAGGGCCTGGAAAGAGCCAAAGCCATGGAGGGGAAGAGCTGGGCACTGATACAGGGCAGGACAGGGTCTCCAGATGGAGCCGGCTGCCTCCCATCCCTTCCCAGCCCCTGGGCTCCTCAGGGGATGGATAAGCAGCAGCTCAGCAGCCAAGATCAGCAGCATCCATCCCTTCCCCCAGCTGTGACCACACTTCTGAAAGAGACAAAATAATTCCAGGAGATTTGTTTAAAGCATTTTGGCATCCTCGGGGCTGAAATCCCTCTGTGAAAAGAGGACACTATAATTGCATTATTAATAACAACTCGATCTAATCTCCAGCTTTCAAAGAACCACCTCAGGCTACGTGAAAATCTCCAAAATCCCTGAACTGGCCCTGGGATATCACAGTTGGGACTAAGATTTGGGGCTTTCTTCTCCTGAAGACCCCAGGAGCAGCTCCCCTTCCAAGCACGAAGATCCAAACCTCTGACTTCACCAGCTCTCCTGCTCCTCCTTGCCTTCCTGCTCCCAGACTTCTGCAGAGCCTGGGCTTTTATCTCAAGGTAAATACACATTCTCCCAGCAACCTTCACTCATTTGCACAGTTAAAGATGAACCAGTGATTCACATGAAGTCCTTGCTGAACAACAGAAGAACGCTGGAACTAACCTTGCCCCCTCTGCCAAGCTCCTGAGCGTTCAGAAGCGGCTGCCCAAGGCAGTTTCTATAAACAATCCACTTTTACCCTTTTGTATGGTCACTTGGAAAAAAAAAAATTCACAAAGACAAGCCACCCAACCTCTCTGGCAAGTAACCTTTCCTGTGACCCCCCCCAAGCTAGGCTCATACATCACTAGGGTAAATATTTGTGTCCATGCACACGCAGATAAACAGTTTTGGAAAACACAGGCATCGAAAAAAACAGATGACGACTTTGCTTAAAGAGATTAAAAAATAGAAGCTGGATCTTTTTTGACTTTTCACTGTTTGAGGGCTTAAGACTATTCCTCAGCCTTCAGCTCCAGCTACAAGGGCTGGAAAAACGTTTTGCAAACTAGAAACCCAAGTGCTGCGTGTAATCACTGCTCCAGTGGGTGATTTATATGTGAGGGGAGATAAAACCTCACTGACTGTTCTGGTGTTGCTGCAGTGTGCACAGATAGGGATGGGACTGAGGTACAAAAGAGTCCCCCAAAATGCTCCTCAGACTGAATGGAGCTCCAAATCTGCAGGAACACCCAGTGCCACATTTCTTCTGCACACGGGGAGTGCCTGAGATGTGCAGCTCTGCTGCTCCTGCCCTCCTCACATCCTCTGAGGACCAGCACAGAGCACAACCCTGCAGTGGCCATGGGCCTCCCTCCAAACCCTCTGCTCCTCCTTGCCAAGAAGAAATTCAGAGGCTCAGGGGCCCCTCAAAGCAGAACTGGAAGTTTCTAGAAGTGTCTGGTTTGAGTTTTTTCAGTGCCTCCCTGTTTTAAACTTCTTACCCTTCCTGTATCTCATGCTTCTCCACCAGTTTTCACCTGCTCATCCCTTTCAAGGTACCTCCCAGCCCCTGGGGCTTCTCTGCTTCAGGGATGGAGCTGGCAGGTCCATCACTCACTGGAGATGTAATTCCAGGGCGTGCCCAGGTCTGTTCCTGGGTGGGAAGAGAGGGAAAACCTCCAGGATATCACAAGGAATGTGAGAGGAGCTCAAACCCACGTTTTGTGACCACAGGAAAGAGGCCTCCAGCAATGGCCTGAACTCACTGCCTGGACCATCTGGTATCTTGCTTTACCCAGTGACTGCAAACACAAGGATAGAGGGAACAGAGCTCCCAGTCTTCACCTGTCCTCCTTCTGCCTTCAGCAGCCACAAGGCCACCATTAACACCTCAGCTCTTGAGCAATTCACCCTTTGCCCAGTTTTCCTAAGCAAAAAAAAAAAATAAAAATTCAGTTTGATGATCCTTACCATGTTCTCCTACCAGTTGCTGCAGCTTCCCATAAGAATCCACGCCCAAATTCACCGGGCTATTAACCACGGCCACCGGCGAATTCCCGTTCTTCTTCCCTTTGGGAACGGGCACGGAGCTGACTCTGCCCGTCGGTGAGGGCAGGATGGTCGGGTAGTTCATGTTGCCGCGGCTGGAGAGCCCGGCAGCCAGTTTGATGCCGGCAGGGGCGTTGGAAGACTTGCAGTTGACGGGGGGTCCCTCCACGTGGCAGTCGGCATGGTAGATGCTGTGCACGGACTCGGCGTCGGGGTGAGGGGCCGGGCTCTGCGCGTTGGGGGCCGGGGAAGGCAGCATCAGCTGCCCCCCGGGCTTCATGACCTTGAGCTCCAGGTCGCAGATCTCCGGGTTGGGGCGCGGGCCCCGCGGGCTGCCGTTGCTGATGTGGTAGTGGTGGTGGTGGTGGTGGTGGTGGTGGTGGATGAGGTGGTGGATGGAGGTGATGCGCTTGCGGCCGCGGTGGCTCTGCCCGTTGGTGCCGCTGTTGGGGTTCACCTTTTTCCGGCGCTTGCTCTGCCAGTTGTTGTACAGGCGGATCGTCCTGCGCTTCACCTTCCTGAAGATGTGGCAGATGTACTTGAGCAGCTCCTCGTAGCAGCTCCCCGGCTCCGAGAAGCTGGCGATTGTGCTGTCGTTGGAGAGGTACCGGGCCCGCTGCTCCTGCATCAGCTGGTTCTCCCGCTGCTTGGTCTCGGAGAACTGTGTTGCTATCACAACCAGGCACAAGTTAATCATGAAGAAGGAACCGACCTGGAGGGAACACGGGGAGAGGGATTAGCAGGGATTTCACTCTCCTCACCACCGCGCGTCGTCTGGACATGAAGTGCGGCTCTTGGTGAGACTTCCAAATGTGCCAAATCTCACCAAATGTCATGGCCACACATGCCCAGGCTTCTAAATTTGCTCCTAAACCATGCTAAATTATTTTGGCCATGGCAAAGCAAGTTGTTAACAATGGCCCTCCCCACTTTCCTCCCCTCAACACGGATGACATTTGCTGCTAACGCCGGGTGGAACATGAGGCAATCAGTCAATCAGTCACCACCACAGAATGAGCTGTCTTGGACATTTGGCCAACCTGCAGGGAGAGATGGTCTGAAGTCCAATTTGTGCTGTACTGGAACAGGGTCTTTTCTTCAGTCACTTTGATCACACCCTAACAGAGTCCACCTTTTTACTCTTGTGTCTCTCTGCCACAGAGAAATGCACCTCCAGGAGGTTCAGTGCTCCTAGAGGGGCCTGATTTATTGCCTGGTTGAGTTGATGCGTTCTTGGGTGATAACTGAGTTTTAAGTCCCAAGGACAAGAATGTGAAGTGACCTAAGGCTGCATTCTTCCCTCAGCTGTTGAATCCACAAACTGGTTTTTCACCACTTGGGTTCATAAATCCGCCAAAGGGAAATGTCAAATATTCCCAGCAGGGAATCGGTGCCCTTGGGCGTGAACGGGACTGACGTCAGGGAAGTGCCACTGTCTGCAGGGCCAAACCTCTGTGCTGGGCTCAGCAGGACACACATGGATTTAATCCGGACCATTGTCTGGGGAATCCTCAGGGGAAGCCGTTGGGAGATGGTTTGTGGTGCTGATCTCCAGTTTGGAATATCAGCCTGGATGCTGGCAGGCAAGCAGCAAGGGTGCCTTTCCCAGCTCCAAGTGACTTGGAGATTAGTCACCTTCTGGCTTTTCTGCAAGGATCCATATGTAGAGAAGGGCTCAGAGCAGTGGAGCATAAACCCCTACTATTCATGGTCCATTGCTAAAGCTCAAAAACCACTGACTTCAAAATGCTCTCCATGACTGGGACACTCTCAGTGCTCTGATCCATGCCTTTCCCACTGCTGGTGAGAGCTAGATTCAGTTCCCAAGGCCTTTAAACCCACACTGATGAGGATGGGGTTATATACAGGGAATATCCAGCCTCCAAAGCACTTTTAAGTGCCTCCATCCCATGTCCTGCCTTACAACTACAAGGTAGGACTCCCTCTGCTTCCTTCTTGACTTAAATGCTTCCCTTTTCCACATGTGTAGACCCCTGGAGAAGGTTGTGCCCACTGTAAAAACAGAACCTTATTAACATGGAATGGCAGCTTCTGAAGACAACCTCCAGCACCTCCAGTGGGTAATACTTTGTTTTTAGGAACGACAGCACCGTAAGACCTCAGCAAGCTGCAGTGCTATCATCGGGGTTATTGTTATTTGAAGGGCTCAGGTGAAGTTCAGAAGTTTGAGGGCCCTCCACTGAAAGCAGGTGTCCTCTGGCACACTGAGGAGACTAAAGGAAGGAAAGCTACAGCCTCTCTGCTTTTTGTTCTGATGAACAATTGCTTGGCCAAGGCCCGGCGGTTCAGACACATCAAGGTGACAAGCCCAAGACTGGAGGGCGAGAGGGAGGGGAGACCATATGGCCTGACAGGCTGTGACTGTGCAGCACATGGGACACTGAGCAGGGCTGTCACAGACAATAATCTGCCCCCACAGCACGAACCACAACCTGCATGATCACACCTGATGGCAGCAGGAAAGTCTCCCACCCTGAGCCCTAACTGGCTCTTCCCTGTGAAGAGCCCAGGGAACAACTTGACCCCACAAGGAAAAGGAATAGGAGCATCTCCCAGTTCATACTTACTATTATAAGCAATATAAAATATATAAAATTGTAAAAAGAATGTGCATCCATCACGTAATACATGATGTCAACCCATCCTTCCAGGGTTATAACCTACAGGAAGAGAGAGAAAGAAAACTGTAAGAACAAAAGTCAACCAAAAGGTTATTAGATGTCAATCTTCTGATGGTTCCTGGTACTCATCACTCCACAGCACCTCTTGGGATCCATCCAGACCTGCTGCACTTCTGTTCCCAGTTGGCTTAGGAGAGCAGCAAAGTGTGACCAAAGGACTGGCCTGAGGTTTCTACAGGAATCTGGCACAATGAAATGGTGAAACATTCAAATAAACCACCTGAAACTCTGGTTTTGAGGCAGCATCAAGAAATTCCAAGGAGGGATTCTAATCAAAAAAGCCTCTGTGTGCAGAGATCTGCAGTTTTACCTTTGGCTCCTGGTTTTGTGATGTTACCCATAAAATTCCCAGTTTTTGAGTCAATTTTGTTTCTTCAAAACCAATTTCTTTGTGATTCCTACTGGCTCAGGATTACAACTGCATCACCAATATCATAGTGGGAAAGCATCTGAATGGAAGAGAGTTACTTTAATTAAATATAGGATTGATTTAATACTCGTTTTCTCAGTCTTCCTTTCACTAAAAAAAGAAGCTGAGGATTTAATTAACACCACACAGGCTGTGTGCAGAGCAAAGTGAGTTCTACCACGTAATTTACAGTTCTTATTTAGATAAAACACACCAAACTTCTGGTGCAATCTTGCTGCTAATCCTGGAGCTGGAATTCCAGCACCGTTTCCATCAGAATCAAAGCTCCTGCCTGAACTGACTCACGGCGACTCGTCACACCAACGTGAGCCTTGGTGGCCTTGGCAAAACCCAGAACTGCTCCTGCCTCCAATTCCAGAGGTATCATCCCTGATTTAAACCGTGTTTGCAGCGAAGGAACTTGCTGTGGGAAGAAAAGGCTCAAAACCTCATCAGTGCAGAGGGCTTTCTGTGGGAAAAGCTGATCCATAAAGCACTTGCTGTCGAGGCAGAGAATAAAACCATGGCCTTGGCCCACCAGGGTAAAGCCCTTTCAGGGGAGTCAGACACAAATCCTTCAACTCTTTTCTCCTGGTTTTTTCAGTCAAGGAACTGAAAGGAACTTAGACATGGATGTTCAGGACGTGAGCACATGTCCAAGGGGAGAGCTTTGCTGTGCCCACAACCATCAGCACTCCCAGTTTCCCTGAGGCTGTTGGGGCTCGTTGCATCCACTCAGGGGTGCTGGCAGGGAAATCCCACCTATCTGTGATTCCTCACCCTAAAGTCACAGTGCTGATGTTTCACCAGCCTGTTTTCAAACCCACTTGCCATGCTGGGGCTTGTGTAACCTCACCCCCTCCCCGGGCACTCGAGTGAGAGGGCAGCAGGAACAGCTCCAGCTAAAACCAACCAACAGGATCTGCCAAGGAGCAGGGAAAAATTCTCTCTGCAGCTGCTTTACTCTGTCAGTGCTGCTGAAGACTCAGAGCAATCAGGTCTGCTGACACACTAGCTGCTTTACACAAACATCTCCCACAGCTCCTGTTCCTCCTTATATCCATTAGATATTCCTTCATATCCCACCCTCGCTGCTGGTTAGTGATGGTCAGCAATGGGACAACAATGCTTTGCTTCATAGAATAATAAAACCATGGAATTGGATTGGAAGGGACCTTAAAGCCCATCCAGTCCCACCCCCTGCTACAGGCAGGGACACCTCCCACTAGCCCAGGTTGCTCCAAGCCCTGTCCAACCTGGCCTTGGACACTTCCAGGGATGGGGCAGCCACAGCTTCTCTGGGCAGCCTGTGCCAGTGTTTCACCACCCTCTGAGTAAAGAATTTCTTCCCAACATCTAATCTAACCCTACCCTAATCTAACCCTGCCCTTTGGCAGTTTAAAACCACTGCCCCTTGTCCTGTCCCGACCTGCCCAGAAGTGGCAGGCGTTTAACAAACCCAAAAGAATCCTTTTAGTCAACATGAACCCCAGAGATCAACCTGTGGCAGATGGTTTCCAGCAGAAAAGACATTTTTTTGTGTGGATTCCAGTGCTGTTATTCCCGTGGAGCCTGGGAAGGGGTTAAGCTGCCTGGGTTTAACAATCAGGGCAGCAATCGGGGTGTTCAGCAGCGTGGAACAGACAAGCAATCAAAGCCCAGCTGCCCCTTCCTGCCTTTCCCTGAACACGAGTGAAACATTTATAGAGAGCAAAGTTCTTCCTGGGTACGTCCCTCACCTGTGTGGGCTGTGCTCTGCAGCTGATCCTCTCACAGCCAGTGCAGGTTCACAGGGAAAACACAGGGATCAAGTCGGGAGGTGACATAAGGCTAAACCAAATCACTGCCAATTACCCAAGAAATTGTTTCCTTTGTGCTCTGCAAGTTCCCTCCCTTCCTTCCCTCCTGTTTGGAGGCACAGCTGGCACAGCAGGTGCTCCATCCATTTACACTTAGGGATGACAAATGAGCCCAGAGACCCCAAATATATCAGCTACACCTCTCCACTGAATTTGCATTTGGCTGGCAACCCTCAGATCTAACATATTAGAATGATTAAACACAGAGCCCTCCGTACAAAAGGAGTTTCCCCGAGGGCTGCTCTTGGGCTTCTGCAGGTGCTGCCACCTCCCCACCTGGGAAACAGCTGCTGAGACAACACTGAGGGCCAACCAACATTTATAGAGATATTTTTCTTGCATGCTAGACAGCACTTTGAACAAGAATCAATCAACACGCCAGGTTTCTCCTCCGGAGGGCTCAGAACGCTCATCCTGCTCTGCGAATATTTAAGACGTAATTAGGACTTGCATTATTTACTACTCACTTGTAAAGCAAGGGGATACAGGAGGCATAAACAGACCTCTGGGCTTTTGTTCTCCTGTTTGACATCTCTGGGGGTTCATTCTGGGCCTCACCATCCAGTATAAATGCAGCAGTACCGAGGGGAAGGATCCCGGAGCTGCCGGGATTAGGGAGTAGCAGCAGTCCTGGAGGAGAGAGGGATCACAGACATCCGCCTGCTTTTTCTAATCAGGGAGCTCTGGAGAAATGCAGGACAACACACAGGCACAGCCACCTGTCTGGTCTGGAACAGGGTCTGGGATTTTTCCAGCCTGATTCTTGCTTTGCTGGGGCTTCTTCCTTGCTGCCCTTTCAAGTGCTCCAAACAACTTCACGGGGACGTTTTCACTGCACATCCCCAGCAAGGTCTGGTGTAAATGGGAACCAGACCACCTGAACCTGCCAACAGCTGGTTTATACACCACAAACTGAACTCTCCCAACTATTTTTGGAACTCAGACAAAAGCATCTGCACAAGGTTCACTGCTGCACCGCACGCTTTGATCCCACACACTTAATTCTCAAACCAGATGAACTTGTGGATGCCCCATCCCTGGAAGTGTTCAAGGCCAGGCTGGATAGGGCTTGGAGCAACCTGGGATAGTGAAGGAGTCCCTGCCATGGCAGGGGGTAGAACTGGGTGTTCCTTAAGTCCCTTCCAACCCAAACCATTCTGGGATTCCACGAAGTCAGAGGGAAATCCAGCAGCTCTCACCACTCTCCCAAGAACATGGGTATATTTTTCCAGCCTGCCTTGCTTTGCCTGCTGTTCCTCCCTTGGGGCACCCTGACTGCAATCTCACCTATTTCACTAAGCAGAAATGACTTCCTCCTCTCTTCACTTTCCAGTTTGATTAATCCACTTGACTGCACCTCCAGCATTTGGCCTTCCAAGCCCTTTGGAGATGTCTTCCAAAGACCTGGAGCACCTTTCTTGTGCCTTCCAATCTCAGCAATCCATTCCCGGTAATTAAATTCTGTTCAAGCCGTGGTTGTTCACAGAGAGTCACATTAAACAGCATCTCCAAATGTACCAGTTCAAAGCCTCCAATAAATGCAACACACAATTATTTATCCACGGAGATAAGATGGCAAGAACACGTTTCCTAATTCAGCTCTGATGAAAAAGATGTGCAAGGTACGTGGCACCAATATTGGCAGCTGCAGGGAAATGGCTGAAAGATTCAATTAAGATGATTGGCACAGTTGTGCTGGAGGGGGCTGCAGGCTCTGATTGTGCTGCAGACCCAGTGGGAGAGGAGATCACAGGACATGCTGAGCTGGAAGGGACCCACAGGGATCATCCAGTCCAACCCTCAGCCCTGCACAGAACCATCCCCAGGAGTCACACCCTGTGCCTGAGGGGGATCATCCAAACACTTCTTGAGCCCTGGCAGCCTTGGGGCTGTGCCCAATGCCCTGGGGAGCCTGGTCAGTGCCCAACCACCCTCTGGGGGGAGAACCTTTTGCTGAGATCCAACCTGACCCTGCCCTGACACAACTCCAGCCATTCCCTGGCTGCTGTCCCTGGTCCCCCCAGAGCAGAGCTCAGTCCCCGCTCCTCCTCTTCCCCTGCCCAGGCAGTTGTAACTGCAGTGAGGTCTCCCCTCAGTCTCCTCTTCTCCAGCTGAACACACCAAGTGCCCTCAGTGTCCTCACACGGCTTCAAATCCAGGCCCTTCCCCATCCTCGTGTCCCTCCTTTGGACACTCTCTAATGGCTTCAGATCTTCCTTATATATATCCCAAAAGTGCAGATGTCCCCTCAGCCTGGGGAAAGGATTTTTGCCTTCAGTGGCCTGGGCTGGGCAGAGCACAGAGCTGTTCTCCAACTCACTGGAGGCCCCATATGATGCTCAGGCTGATTCTCCTTCCCTGCTTGTTCAGTTCTTCACCTCTCACACACCGTGGGCAGGGATGGGATAAATCATTTCTCTCCCATTAACACCCATGAGGGCAACTACTAAAGCCCCCAGTCTTATGTCTGATCCTCTCTCCTATCACTGCAAGAATTTAATAAAAACCTCACCCAGGTGAACATAAAGACAATTTTAACTTCATCGATCTCTGGCTTGGACACCAGTCAGGCACTCCCTGATCACCCCACTAACATGAACAGGATGAGAGTGGACAATCAGATTTATTTTTAAGTCTTCTGTGATTCTGACCCTCCTGCTTTGCTCATGCCACAACAATTTCATCAGTTGTAATAAAGATGCTCGTCTGAT